AAGAAGGGGAGATAAGGACGATAGATGTTTGATAATAAAGAAGAAGCAAACCACACCAGAGCACCCGCCAACCACCCACTACCAACTTGTAAAACGGACGAAGGAGGAACGCATGATCAGAGTGAATGTCTCCTGTTGAATGTGTTGCATTGTGGTCCCTTTTGTTTGTTTGTTTGTTTGTTTGTTTGTTTGTTTGTGTGTTTGTATGCTCGAATAAAGAGAATCACATCGACACAACAAGGGTCTCACAGTACAGGGAGGAAGCAAGCCACATTGAAAGAAACAACAGAGTGAAAAAAAAGAAGTAATACTATCGGTGACGCCCTCTATCTACCCGCTGTTGCGTTTGTTAGAGAGAGAGAGAGAGAGAGAGAGATTCAGAATAACTCGTCGCGTTTGCAAGTATTTAACGTGGTCCCATCTCTGGGTTTTTTAATATATTTTTCCCCCTTTCAACCCCCTCAGAGAAGAAAAAGAAATAAGAAGAAAAAGTAAGAGAAAAGAAAAGAAGAGACCAAAAAAAATCCAGAGGAAAGAGAGAGAGAGAGAGAGAGAGAGAGAGAGAGAGAGAGAGAGGGAGAGAGAGAGAGATCGAGAGAGAGAGAAAGAGAGAGAGAGAGAGAACTAGAAAAAGAGAAGAGAAAAAAAAACCCTAGCCAGATAGATGAAAGACTGACAAACAGACCGATAAACAGAGACAGAAAAAAGGAGAGTGAGAAATAAATGTTTATCCTGCCCTTTCACCTTTTTCTTTCAGAACTTGATAAATGCACCCTGTGTTCTTTTTTCTTGTGTGAAAAGTAATGGTGGATATTCGTTACAAATATACAAACCCAGTTTTAATATTTTTCTTAACCCTTTATTTATGCATTTTATTACTGTCAGAATCTAGTAGTCCTCCAAATGATATCTGAGGCATCGTGGTGGAATCAGGCTCTCGTCAATTTTTGGGCATGTAGAGTAATTGGTATCATCTTAAAGCTTGTTCACTTGTCTTTATTTGAATGAAAAAAAACGTCCATTTATCTTGAATACAAGTGGAGATGTTTGCAAAAGAAGGAGGTGGGGGTCACCTGCTTTCAGAGGTAAAATTAGTGAGAAAATGGCAGCAAAGGGATTAGTTATTTCCTTAGCTTAAGAGTCCGTGATAACTGAAGATTTACAATTTTATGCCTTTAATCTACGTTT